TGTGGTTCTTCAGGAACAAGAAACTACTGAGCAAGACAGGTCACCGAGTTGCCGTCAAGCATTCCTATAGCCACGGACACCAGTTGGAAGAGTATCTGTGCTAAACATTACCTTTCTGCTCCCCTTACCCCCCCAACCCCCACCCTCTAGCCCTGCCCCAAAGGTACCAGCATTCCGAATACTTGTTCATGAGCTTTTGGAAAGCAGTCTGTCCCCAGAAGGAAAGATGGGATGGGGATGAGAAGGAAATGTGTTTGCATATCAATATTTTCAATGATCCTAGCAGAGGGTTATGCTCAATAGTACATGGCATCAGAAACAGGACATAATCGGCAGGAATAATAGATAGAAGTTGTTTATTAAGGAAGAAAACATGTCAGGGGGCAGATGACTTAAGGAAATGATGCAAGTGCTTCTGTAAGAGGACAAATGAGGTCATACAATATTATTATAGGTTGAGAAGTGAGCTTAAGTGCCAACTCAGACCTTAGACAAAACGTGCACAAAATCAGGCAAGGCTACAGCAACCATTCTTGTCATTTTTTCATTATAAAGGAAGACCCAGGAATAATTTCAATACATTCCTCTAGCTGCATTCTTTGTAGTTGTTGGCACTTGGTACAGGACTTCTCATATGGTTTAAAACTACTAAGTGATTCTTTTTTCCATTTCCTAATGAGTAGGTAGAGGTCAGCTCTTTGCAAAATGAGTATATTGAGAGAAGCAGCCTCTGCCTGTGGTGTGCAAGTGACCAGGCTGCCTTCCTACTGGGGGTAGCTGAGCTTCCTCGGAACAATCCAGGCTTTCAGCTAGTGCCTGTGCTCCTGGCTCGGGAGGGTGTGTGCCGAAGCAGCAGCCCAGCTTCGTAAGGAAAAGAAAGAAGCCTTTAATTTCAGCCCTAGAGCGATCACACCCTTTTCAAACACCCCAGGCTCCAGTGGGGCTAATGTTCAGGGGAGGCCAGAATTTGACAAGCTCGACAGTGCTGTGAGCCCACACCTGAATTTAGAACTTGGCCTGGGAGACCGAGTCAGGACCCTGGCATATCGAATCAGGCCTGAGGACAAGGCTGGGGAGTATCAAATACCAAGTGAAGCAAACTGGTGTCCTCCTAAAAGATCGGGCTGTATACACACACGTGAGGATGACAAATGTTTCTGCCTTCCTGGAAAAGGTGCTGCATCGCATCTGCCAAAGAAATGGAGAGACCGCCTGCCTGGCTGCTCCTGTCTGCGGACTGACCTCTTCTTTCTCCTGTTCTTTCCTTTCCTCCCCTCCTTCCTTCCTTCCATCCTTCCTTCCTTCCTGTCTTCCTTCTTTTCTTTCTTTCTTTCTTTCTTTCTTTCTTTCTTTCTTTTCTTCCTTTCCTTCTTTTCTTTCCTTCCTTCCTTCCTTCCTCCCCCAAATGGTCCATTTTTTAGGAGAGGATCGTGGGCCAAGTGTCCCTATTCTAAGTGACAAGGAAAATCCTGATCCTGTAAGTTTTTTTTAGCAACATGGAGATGATCTGTCTTTGATTTGAAGATACTGTGAAATAGGAAGCCCAGGAAATAGTTGATGAGCACTCTTTAATCTAATTGGCATGGCAGGACTTTTATTAACGGTCAATCTCAGAGGCAGACGTTCGCCTGTAGAATGGCATTCACGCTTCTTGCTATTAAATGGTCATAGAACTCCGTTATAAGATTTAGGCAGACTAACAAAAGCAAATTCACTCTCCCCCAGCTGTACTGGAAATTTAGGATGTTCAATTCTTCGAGTTTCTAGAATAAACAAGTAAGTAAAAGTCTGAGTCTGTGGACAGTGGGTTCCAAACTGAACGGGAACCCTGGAGAAGGGTTTGACTGCCCCAGCGACAGGTGGAACACTGCTCTCACTGCGGCTGCTAATTCACTATCCCCATGAGGTACAGTGACTTGTCAACTTCTATTCTGGACCAACATATATGGATAGAGAACGAAAAGGAAATACATAACTTATATCTCACTAAGTACTCATGAACCAAAAATAAATTCTATTTCTATGTTATATTTACACAATTAGAAAAATCTAAAATGAGATGGTAAAGTCATAAGAACTTTGTTTAAGCCCCACTGAAAAGAAAACGAAGTGATCCCTATGATTGTCATTCTTAATTTCCGTGCATATTTAGAGCCACACTTGGCTAATAAATAAACTGCTTACGCGCAGAATTTAGATTCAAATACAGCATCACTGTTTGACCCAATGAAAGAGACGTTTACAATCAGATCATTCCTGAATAGCCTTTCACTTTTAAGAACATGGCTAGGAGTAACTGCACCCCAGTACTGAGGCAGAGCTGGAGCTAAAACAAAGTGTTCATACACACATGTATTTTGCATAAATAAATGAAATAACAAGACATAAAAATGACTCAAATCCGGCAACTGTGAGGCAAGCCCACACGAGTCGAAACAGATGACTTTTGTTCATGTCGTTTTCGTACAACAGTTTCACATTAGTCAGAAGTGATAAAAAATACCATTTATATCCAGTGCTTATAACACTTACGAAACAACATCTGTGAGTGTGTGTGTTTTTTGTTTTTTTTCTTTCTTTCTTTTTTCTTTTTTTTTTTTTTTTTAACTATAAGCAAAATCAAGTTTCAGTCCTAAAGAACAGTCCTTTGTTCTCCACCAGCCCAGAATATTATTTTGGCATGGTCATAAAAACAAACAAAATTAACCTACTGTTCTAAATGTTTGCCTTTGTGCAAAATTAATTACATACAATACAATGCTAGCCATATAGCACTCTACCTATGCGGCAAAATAAAAAAAGGAGGAGAGAGGAGGAGAGAGCAAAAGCTAAGTCAAAGAAAAAGAGAAAAAAACACGAGTATGAAGTGAGGAGGAGAGGTATATAATCAAAAAAAAAATCAGTAAGACAATAATAAATATTCATTTTCGAGAAAAAAAAATGGCCTCCTCCTCATTTAAAATAAATGTACAAAAACAAAGTTCCAATCCCCAACCAATACTACAAACAAAACATTCCTATCAGTACCTTAATCAGCTTATGGAGAGCACTCCCAGCTAATGACACAGCCAGCAACATCTTGGCTAGACCTATTTATTGCTATTAGGTATGGCCTTGAGCACTCCTTAAATAAATATGAAGGTACATTATTTTCTTCCAAGTGACAAAATGGCTCAAGAAATCTGATGGGGCCGTTCCTATGTCCTGGTGATCAGATTCTGGGTTGTCCCATGAGGTCAACTGTCCCATTAACTGACACTTTCCCATTGAACCACTCTGGGTGAGGCTCCCTCGCCCACCATAGGCAGTCAGTCCTGGTTTCAGGAAGGTCAAAATGGCATGGCTGAGCTTCCAGTAGTTAGGAGAGGGGAATGAAACCTCACTGCCTCCCCACCCATCAGCACATCTCCAGAGAAATCCTCCTGTGTCCAGTGCTGTTAATCATGTTCACAGGGAGGCATGCCCGCCCCCCACCCATGTGGCCACCGATGGAGGGAGGGAGCCAGAGGAGCTCACCTGCCGCCCCAGGAGTCATCCGTTCCCCAGCGTTAACAGTAGGAACATCCCCTACAGGGAATGTATCTCCCCTCCTTCTCCTTCCCTATGGTTTTCTTTCATTCTCTGGATGTATCATGACTATTTGCCTCTCTCTTTGCCTTGAGGCTGTCATGTGGCTTCCTGCATCCTGGGATTTTGCAAAAACAAAACAAAACAAAAACAAAAACAAGAAAAACAAAAACCAAAACTCCCTAGGCGCGTGCCAGATGGGACAAGGCAACTCAGTGTGGAGATGCCAGCCCATGACAGCATCGCCGTGGCCTCCTCTGTGGCCCACGACCTTGGGCTTCCGTCTCGGCTGTGGACCCTCCTGCCTGGCAGTCACCACTGCTGCCCCTTGCTGCCGAAGGGCATTCAGGGGTAATGCCGCTGATGCAGATCCTACCACTGTTGCTAGACTGTATTAGAGCGGAAGTCTGGCGAAAGACTTGAGGTCCCAGAGAACCTCAGGGGCAGACCTGTTGAAGTGTAAGACTCTACACCTGTATCCAAATACACAGCCCTCCAGCCAGATAGACACTTATGTTTGAAAACAATATAAGTATTTAACAGAATCTTGTTTCAGAAATGCTTCCAGATGCTCTGGGGACATAAAATCACTATGTACACCTTTTGCATGTAGCAGGAGAAGGAGGTGAAAGGGGCTGAAAAGATCTTCAGGGAAGGAGGGTGAAAAACAAGAATTATTAAATTAATGCCAACAACATTTTTTTTCAAATAAATAGTAAGTGGACCCTTGACATTCTGGAATGAATAAATTATTTAAGAGAAAATGTGTTAAGACTGAATGTCAGGGTTAAAAGGCGAAGGGATAATGGATGTAGTGAGAGATGGTCTCAGGCAGAGAAGACCACCACGTGGGTATCTGGTGTGGTGAATGCTCTGGGGCGCGCTCATCTCAGCGCATCACACACTGATGGCACGTCAAGAGGCAAACACGATTGGGTACGTGCACTGTGGCAACCTTGTTCGTTCCTTACAATATCTTGTCTCCAGATTCCTGAGTACTTTACCATTTTCTGGAAAAAAAAATGTGTGGTTTGCTATTTTATTTTAAGATGCCAAAGATTGTCTAAGACTTCGCAGTGTCTCCTTTAAGACTTCCAAAATATGAAGATTCAAAAGTTCTGAGAAAAGTTTGGCACATTCAGAGTTTAACTCTACACGTGGAAAAATGGAATTCCGAGGCCTTTTGAATATGCTCTACATGCAGCTGCACACGCTGTGGACTTTTCTGTTTCACAATATGAAATCCTCAGTTGTTCTCTCCAATAATTCAGAATAAAAACACATTCACAACCTGTAGGCCGGCACAGCATACCTGAGTGAGAATGTTTAACCCCATCTAAAACAGTAACTTAAACCTTTATCAACATCCAAAAGGAAAAAAAAAAGTAAGACAAAAATATAAGACTTGTAAGACAGCTATGGGTTGAGATAAGTTTTCAAGTCCTGGTGTCTCATATTTAATATGTCTTCACCTAAATTAAAAAAAAAACAACAACAACAATAACAATAACGACAAAAACTCAAGTTCATGAAAAATCTGGGAAAACTTAATCTGTCTCACACTTTACGAAACAATTAAGACCATTCTGCTGATGTAATTGTGGAGCCACAAATGCATGCGGGCTCTTTAAGAACTTTTTGTTGGGGGAGGGGAGGTGAAATGTCAAAGTATTTTAATTCAGCAAACAAACACTCCTCAGTTGGCACTGACAGCTTCAGGGGCTTCATTTTCACTGCTATAGTCTGATTTGGGATCATCTTCATAGTCGTCATACATTTCCATTTCATCTTCTCCATTAATCATTTCATTTCCAGCTAGGCTCCCGCCGTCTGTCTTCATACCATAAGTGCTCTGGATGACAGGGAGGCTGGGCTCTGGGCTGGCGGAGGTGCTAGAGCAGTCAGATGTCATCTGAGGTGACGGTGTGGTTGTTGCCATAGTAATAGCACCAGGATACACAACACCTGTTCCTGTGGTGATTGGAATCTGAGGCTGCTGCCTGTATGGATTCAAAAAAATAAAATAAAACAGGGGGAAATCTGTATGTTCTTCTGGGTGGCACTCGAATTCCTCCCCCACACATTCTGAGAGAGGGCTCTGTTTGACATTCTAAGCAAACCACAGAACGGGACAAAGGTGCTCCCTGGAGGTCCTGCACGTCACCCCCGGTTGCTATGGTTGGGCATTAAGCAATACAATGGAGCAACTTATTGATGGTTTTGAAACATAAAAGCAGGGTTCTTACAACATTACATATGGCAAAGGTTGAATAACACTTGGCATTTGAAACCAAGGCTGTAGTCAATTCCAAAAGTTACATGTGACATCATTTTTTAAGATCTCCCAGGACGATAAAAACAAAATAACTGGTAGCGTGAGATATATTTTAGTGACACTGCTAAGCAGGCTCGTGTCTTCAGCTTGGCTCGAGAATTGTACAAAGGGAAGATCAAGATGAGAAGGGATCGAGTATGTCCCAGAGAGTCAGATTTAGCAAAGCATGTATTTGCTATCTATGCAAATATCTACCTATTTCTATGGCTGAACTGGAAGGGACACTCCTTTAAGGAGCTTCTATTTTCATAATTATGGAAGGAGCATCTTGGATGTCATGACTCCCAAGTCCCTGGCCTGGCACTGGGTTGGAGGAGTCAGGAGTGAAGAGCGGCGAGAGCCCTGCGACTTATCAGAATAACACACATTGCCTCATCCCAGATCCTAGCGGGTGCCAAGACTGGGTCACACCAGATCATTCTGTCATAATGGTACTCTGGTTCAAATAAACTTACCAGACCCTGTATGAAGGTCAGTCTCTCCCTCTAAAGGGAGACATTGCTCTCTGCTTCTCAATTTCCCTTGAAGCATTGTTATTGGTTGAAAGAATTAAAGACCTACGACACCTAGCTCACAGACTATGACTGAAAAAATATTCTCATGGTTGCGATATTTACCAAGCGTTCCTCAACCTGAATGGACAATAATTACCATTTAAATTCATTTCAAAGTATCACTGTAACTATCCTCTCTGAACTTCAGTTTCCAAATGTTTATGAGAGCTGGGGTCAGGGAAGTCTTGGAAGGTCCTTTCACCTTTTAATACTCATGACTTCAGGTTGATCCATCCCTTGAATGGTTCTTACTGACCCTCTACAATATCGTTAAATCTTTCTGTCCACCTCAGTCAGAAAAATATCCCGAATCTATGAAGAAGCAGCTAAGTTACCAGCCATTCTCTGACATTTCTGGAAAAATTTTCTTGGAAAGCCCAGCATGCCTTCCAGCCTGGTAGAAGGAACAATGATGGGAATGACCTAGACTCACTCTGTGAGATACTGCATGATGCTATCTTTAACTACCTCTTCCAATCCCCAGAAAGGATGACTATGATTCCTTCACCTCTGACTAATACAATATAGCAAATATTTTCATATATATTACCTCATTCAATTAACACGGCAAACCCATGAGGTATTGTCATGCCCAGGTAAGGTAAGGTAAGGTAAGGCCTTGTGTAAAGTCCTGCATTCAACACCCAGCAGAGCCAGCTTTTAAAACTAGGTCACTTGACTTGAATTCTATCACTCTCTCCTCTATAGATATTCAAGGGACAAATAGACTATGCTCACTGTGTCTCATAAAAATTCCTGATTTCTATAGATCCTGTCGGTACCCAGTTGGCACTAAGACCTGATATTGATCCGTTCTCTATGAAGCTCATGGTGACTTTTTTATTGCCTGAAGAAGATGATAGAGGAATCTAGACCTGTTCACAGAAACATCTCATAAAATACTAGTTTCCCTCTTAAAGAATCAAATTCTAAAAACAGTATATTCCGCTTCCTAACTTTTGGGCAAATTAACGCAAACTAAATTTCATGCTAGCCTGCCCAAGGCAGTGAATGCCTCATTAAATTTTTTACAGAACTTGGATAATTGCAATAAAAATATTTTTGCCTTAATCACATAATGAGTTTAGAGTAAAAACTTTTATTGCAATATTAACCCATTTTACAGATTTCCCAATTTAATAAGCTAATCTGTAACATAAACTCTACATTCCATACACTAACTAGCCAATGGTACACTTTCTTTTCATAAAGGACATTCTTTTTTCAGAAAGAATAGATGGTCAGTTTTGTAGTATTTTTTAATCAAACTATCTACATGTATTGGTCTCTTAAATAAATTTTAACTGGGCTCCTATTATGTGCTGGTGATAATGCTTAGGTGCTTATGCTCAGATGCTTTCACGTTATCTTCTTTAACCCTCACAATAAGCCTAAGAGGTGAATATTATTTCCCCTCTTTACTGATGAAGTTACCTACTAAGTTTCAGAGAGTTCAAATTGTTTGTCCAAGGCCATAGGAGCATGACAGCCAGGAGCTGAACCCTTCCTTAATGTCACAAATTCTCTACTGGATATCAAGATTAGGGTGAGGAAGGCAAGCTCACATGGTCAGAAAAATACATGGCAATATGGATCAGAATCAAACTCTTCGAAATTGGGCTCCACATACTTCACAATACTTGGACATTAAGCTGGTAATTGAACACGAAAAACAAATAAAACATGGGTACAACTTACTTTCTGGAGTGAGGCACATGATAGCCAAAAGCCAACTACTGGTGGTAGGGGGATGCCAGACTATGTCACCCACTGACTCCCTGTCTACTTCCTGCCTCATCATTGCCCCTCGTTCCTTAAAGATGTTAGCTCCTGGCTTACTGTCACTCCCTTTCCAACAATTCTGCCATAATTCTTGATGACTCCTGTCCATGGAGGTGATAATATCGACACCTTGCCATCTCAAGTTCTTGACCTCCTCTCCGTGGTGGTGCTCTGGCCCCCTTCCTGTGTCAGCAGACCTTGTCATTTCCAGCTGTAACCCCACCCCGATGTCCATTTTAAACATCCCACTCTATGACCACCACATCTTCTCTTTCTAGTTTTCTTCCTCTGAAACCCCAGTCCAACAATTCTCCCACCCTTTGGGCATCTATAATTCCTTGATCCTTCAACAAATTTTTGCTGTCCCTGTCCCTCCCCCATGTGTCCTGCCTTTACCTCTTTACCCAGGATAAATTCTGTGGTTAGTCACTGTCTCGCAGGTACTCTCCCCTCCCTTACAAGGCAAAACTTGAACTCTCTCCCTACTTTTGAGCACTCCCACATAGCTGAACTGGCTGCAGAAAAAACACACTACCATGCATACATACTAGTCTCAGATTTTTTTGAGCATGAATTTCAAATTAGCCTTCAGTGCTGTTCAGCCCTCATGTTGTACTTTTTCCTATGACACTCCCTCTTCTACTCTCCTAGATAATTATTTCACACCTTCTCAGCTCTCTTCAGATGTCCAACTTCTCCCATATCCTCACTCTCAATTGATGACCTGGCTTTCCATTTCATGGAGAAATTAGAAATAATCAGACGAAATTTTTCACAAGCTCCCACCAATCACATTTATCCATCTGCCTCTGTCTGTTCTAATTCTCTGCTTGCCTCCCTGTATTTTGAATGAATTTGTAATCCAAAGTAAAGCCAATCCTTTCACTTCTGCACTGAAACTATCTGTTCTCGCTTACGAAGGATCTCTCTCCAGTGACCGTCTCTCCCATCTGCATGATCAATTTTCCCTCTTTCCTGGATCATTCCCATTTGCACATAAATATGCCACAATCTCTCCACTTTACTTATTTTTTTAAAAAGATTTTATTTATTTATTTGACAGAGAGAGAGATCACAAGTGGGCAGAGAGGCAGGCAGAGAGAGGAAGGGAAGCAGACTCCCCACTGAGCAGGGAGCCCGATGTGGGGCTCGATCCTAGGACCCTGAGACCATGACCTGAGCCAAAGGCAGAGGCTTAACGCACTGAGTCACCCAGGCGCCCTCTCTCCCACTTTAGAAAAACAAAAATCAACAAAACTCTCTCTTGACTCACATCCCCCTCCAGCTACCACTCTATTTCTCTATCTCCTTTAAGGCAAAACTCTTTGAAAAACTGTGTATATTCATTCTCTTCATTTTTTCCACTAAATTCTTAAATCTACTTCAATCACTCCCAATATTCCACTGAAATACAGCTTGAAAAGGCAATACTACCAGTGAGCTCCATGTTGTTAAGTTCAAGAGTCAGTTCTTGGTCCTCATCTTACTTGATCTATGCCATTGGCAGCATTCGATACAGGTGGCCACGTTTTGCCTTGCTGAACTGCTTTCTTCGCTGGTCCTCTGTCCTTCTTCCTCTCTCATTACCTCTCCTTCTAGCTCCCTGGATGTGCACTCCCTCCTTATCAACCTGACATCTAAACTCTGAAGTACCCAAGGATCAGTCCTTGTACCTCGTCTTGCCTCTATCTAAATTCATGCCCTTGGTGAGCCTGTCCATTTTTCATAGCTTTGAATATTAACTAGGTGCTGACAACTCTCAAATTTGTATGTCCAGTAAGCACTACATTCCTAAATTCCAGAGTCATATATGTATATAACTTCTTACTTGATTTGGATATCAAAACAGCATCTCAACCTTACAGATCCAAAAACCAAACTCCTGATCATCGCCATATACCTCTCCTCTCAAGGGCCTTCTGATCTCGGTTAATGATCACTTCATCTTTCTGGCTGTCTGGGTCAATCCTTGGTAACTGCATGTATGTCCTCTCAAACCCTATATCCAGTCCATGAGCAAATTCTAGTGGTCCACTGTCAGGAATCCATCCAGAATCCATCTACTTCTTGCTACCTCCACCCCTACAAATCTGATCCAGGCTACCACCGACCCTAATCTGGTTTATTGTAAGAGTCTGCCTCCTTATTTCAGCCATCTCCCCTTCAAACAATACTCAAAACCGTAGAGTGATCTTTTTAAAACCTAAATCAGATCATAATACTCTTCTGCTCATGACCCTTCCATGCCTTTCCATCTCACTCATGGTCAGATTTCAAGTCTTCACAAAGGCCAAAGGTCCTTTCACAGTTTGACTCCCTATTACCTCTC